CTTACATTATAGAGAACTGAATATCTTGGTGTTTTGACTGTTGGTCAGAGAAAACAAGATATTTGGAGATGTCACCTTGACCTCTAGGAAATTGTGAAATTTATAGACCAAATTAGTCAGTTATGAAAACAATCATTGATGCTGTCTTCATTTTAAAATCACAGCAATCACAAATGCAATGCTGTGTGCTGGGACATATGTTTAACTATGTTACATGGAAACACTAATAAAAGTAACGTCATGGGCTTGATGAAGGATAAAGAGATGTGTTGTAATAGTAAACATAAACTACTGTACATAAAAAATAAACTATATGACACCATTCTTAAAACAAAATGTGTTTGTAAGGAAACTTCCAGAGAAAAAACAACTACAGAAGCAGAAATATAACAGCGCTGACAACATCTGACAACAGCAAATTCCCACTCGCCAATGTTAACATTCTGACAGCGAAAGGTATTTTTCTTTGCACTCAGCTAATTTAACAGTTGCTATACAGTGGACTACAGCTCGGACGGGGCATCAGCATATCAGACAGGGTCACTTCCAGATGCAGTAAGTGGGTCAGGGATTATCCAGCTGGGTCACATAAACACGGTGGCTGTGAGTCAACTTGGCAGCGTTTGGATGCATCATGATCATCCTGTCAGTCTGCATAGCAAATAACAGCATAATGAGATACACTGACCTGTGGCGATGCTGTTCTATTAGTGCCCACTTAATTTGGAAAGAGAACTAGGGCTGAGAGAAAATCATTATGAGTGTGAATTAATGCTTGGATGAATTGTTGTGGATTTTCTATTTGGAGAGAGGAATTAGTTGTTACTGAAACTCCACATCCAAGAATGAGTCTGAATTAAAACTCAACACTTTATTCAGTAACAGCTGCCTGGTAAACACAGTAAACACAGTCACCAGTCGACCATCAGAGACTTTTTCCATGTATCAAACCCACTTTCTATGAGAGCTGATTATTTTTTATTAACGTTTGTTGTCATGTACTCTAGTATTTCACAGCATACATCTCAACATTGTCACAGCCCCTCCACCTGGGCACTAGGTGTCCCTGTTTTGTGCTGCAGGGGTTTCGTCCTTGATGGTTGCATGAGCTACACCTGGTCCCTGCTCTGCCCTAAAAACCTTCCAATCTGCAGTCTCTCTCTCTCTGGGGAGATCTCCTCTCCCACTGCAGGTGTGGCAACAGCATGGGGTTTTGTGTGTTTTGTTCTCCACTGTCATGCATCTATGCATCTACTGATTGCTACACGTTGTATTGTTTGAGTGATTGTGATGTTTTTATAAATACTATAATATAATAATCTTAGCAGTCTTTGTCGTTGTCTCCCTACTTTGTTGACGTCTTTGAGCTGGGCTGTGGCAATGTGTTAAAGCAGGAAAAGCACCGGTGTAACTAATAGCTTTAACAACGACTGCACTCCATCTTCAGTCCTAACACCGTGGTATTTTTAGAGCTTTTCTAAGAGGCATAATTAATATTTTCTGTGCTTTTGCTGCTATGACAAATAAAAATCTCTGTCCAGTTGTATACTTAACTGTTGACTGGTCTCTTCCACAGCCGACATTTTGATTCATCGTAGCAGCTAAAGCACATATGTTACTAATATCATTAACAATAGCTCTGTTCTATTTAAAGGTCCAGTGTGTAACACTTTGGAAGATCTATTGCCAGAAATATAATATAATATTCATAACTATGTTTTCATTAGAGTATAATCACTTGAAAATGAGAATCCTTATGTTTCTGTTCTTAGAATGAGACTTTTATATCCTTTTATATCTACATATGCTGTGGGTCACCTTCCATGGAGGCCGCCATGTTGAACCGGCATGTTTCTACAGTAGCCCAGAACGAACAAAAGAAACACTGGCTCTAGATAGGGCTGTTCCTGTTTTTCCGTGTGTTTCACAGCCACCTTAGTTTGTCCCTCGGGCTTGGAAGAGGATGGTAAAGCAAGGGCTGCACCTGGCAACTATACAGCTGGATGCCACTAAATCCTACACACTGTACCTTTGACCCAGCATGGACAATACCAGGACCCTGAAACTGAAGCAGCCAAATGGAATTGAACCTTCCTAAGCTCCGCCCCATTTTGCTCTGTGCTCCAGTAACAGTCGAGCAAACTTCAGTCAACTTTCTCCTTTTCTGTACCTAGGAGCTAGGCTCGTCTTTGAAAAGACAACCTAATTTTGAAGATGGTTAAAAGATCAAAGCGACATACAGTCACATCTTAAGTTATCTAAGTTAGCTAGCATGATGTGAGGTCAGTTGCGAAAGGTAATTGCCGCATATATGTGAAAGCTGAGCAGAATAAAATGCACTAAATTTTTTGTCTTATTTAACTTTTTATTCAGCTAGGAAGTCTCTTAAGATATCTTACAGAAGAAGATAACTTGCGGCCAATTGTATCTATCTTAAAAACTGTTACAATGTTCATAAAATATGTTTTTTCCAAATCAAGTTAATCTCCTAAATTACTAATAATAATAATAATAATAATAATAATAATAATAATAATTAATTCATGAAGTTGAGCCTGTATACAAGAATGCAGCTTTTGGAACTTTCTTTGAAAATTCCTCACTTCTAAGCTTTTGAACAAAGGGTGACTTAGGTAATTTAGGTAATACATGTAATTCTCCTCATAAATCTACTTATAATTAGTACTGGGTTATAATTGAGTACCTTTATCTGCATGAAGCTTAATTGAAATGTGATGTGAGCTTCAGGCTCATATCTGGCCCCTTATTACTGTGCAGCCCTACTGCCACACTTCAGCATCCTCTGCTAGCTGCTAACTCTTCATCACAATTCTGGCTAGGTGGCAGTAATGTGCTCATTATTGGCTCTTTAATGAAAACTACTCATCATCACAGCATGCATTCATGGCTCTGTCCCTCTGTGGTGAAATATCACTATAATATTTCTAGCAAGGCTTTTAGTTTGACTGCAGGATCCAAGATGGACTTCATATTGTGACGTCTCCATTCGTCTTTTTAACAGCAGCAGCCTTTTATACACTGACTTGTTTATTGTGCCTTCAGTTTTATTGTTATGAGATGACCGTGCAAAACTCACATTCTTAATTTTAATATTCACCAACAATAGCTCGATAACATGGGCTGAAATAAACAGATTTTCTTTATGAATGTTCAAAATCAAAACCATTTCAGAGCATCAGACAGCCAGATGGTTGGTGCTGAAATTCACTATTCTGTGATGTGGTGAGCTACCAGTAGCTCTCATCACTATCCATTATGTGTTTTTCTCACTCAGCGGTACTGCTGGCACTTGTCCCCACAGAGAGGACACAGCTTGGGTTTAAATAAATGTTTGTGGTTTTCAAAGAAATCTGCTAAACCACTGGATTTTAGATTAATCCCTCCCTGAGCAACTACATCAGAGTCTGTCTGCATCACTAGAAAGTTTTTTGTGTGATGGAATTTCCTCTGTCTTTCTTTAAGGCCACCGCATGGAGTCTTATTTTGATAGAGCCTTCCTTCTTATGGATGTCACTGCACCTTATGACACTGTTAATCATTTGAATTTAAACATCTTTATCGCTTATTTCTGGTATTGTTTTAGATGCAGACACACCCAAGGTTGAAAAATGAATGTTTACTGTCCTCAAATGTCCCCTCCAATGTTTCATCACTCTGATCTCAGTTTAGATCAATGAACGAGACCAACAATTGAGTCCTCCCTCCTGCAGCCTCCTAAGATTAGATCTTTTCTTTATCTGCAAAGACTTATTCATGTTTTTATTGCATCTGGACCTGGACTATTGCAATGTTGTGAAGTCATTTTGAAAGAGTTTATGTAAATACAGATACATAACACCACAGACTTCCCATAAGTTTCAGTGTGTGTAACATCAGTTGTTGCCACTCTTCATTTGATATGTGTGGACTCGGGGATGGCTTCTGAATATCTCCATGTACTTGTATTAGTATTAGTGGTATCACAGTGTCTGTCCAGTGACAGGATTTGCAGACATCTATAGCGTTTGTCAGTCTGTCCAAGAGCACAGGGAGGAACAAATAGTGACTAAGATGAAACAGAAGTAGCTGTGTCTGATTACACAAAGAGCTTCTTTCCCACTCAGGATACATGAGAAAATGCACAATAATCAGAAACTGTACAGCTGCAAAGAGCTTCTTCTATTTAAAATCTAGACTGAGTCTGACATCCATGACTCTGCTTCTGACTCAGACACTCGGTCAGTTCACGGTCAGCCTCACAGCGTGATGCTCTATGCATGATCTAGGACACTGAGCAGCAGTGTGTTTATCAGAAACATCCTGATGTCCCAATGCTGACCTCTGACCTTCCTTCAAATGGAGTAAGTAAAGTAAAGTAAGTTAGTAAAAGTTTGACAGATGTTGCGGAAAGCAACAGAATATTAGAGCATATATAATATAAACAGCTGAAGAAGAAGTACATTTTGCTTGATTTATTTGAAAGAATTATCAAATTAATAAATATAGCAGCCGATAGACGGATAGATTTTGTGTCTGATTTCAGACGTTTTGCATTTTACATCAGCATTTCACCAGCAAACTGAATATAGATTTTTTTATATATCTTTTGGACACTACAATTTTGTATCCGTCACATTAATCCAGTTTTTGAAATTACACCACTTAAAATAAAGGGGAATTTAGACTACATTAATTCAGTAAAATATTTCAGTCTTATAAATTCAGTGCCAGTTAAATTTCAACATTAAGTATTAAGTAGAGATTTAAATTGCGGCTATTATTGGTCTCCATAGGCCTAGAATAAGAGTTTATTTTAATCTAACCAATCACAGGTAGTCATAGGTTTAATGTGTCTTTACACAAGAGTGTAAAGTGTTAAACCAACACTGATGCTTGTGTTGATTTTATTTTACCTGTGGTCTGTGCCTCTGTGCTCCTGCTGGATCACTTGTGCTCACATTACTGTCAGAGAAGAGGCTGCAGTTGCAGGTCCTGAACGCTAGGTGGCAGTATTGGCTTTATTAGATTGCCACTGAGCTGTAAACATCAGACTCAAAGAGGCCACTTTACAACAACGGAGCAAATATAATAAAAATTGAGGGATGCGCACAGTAAATTCAATACGAATGTTTTATGAAAAAGAAATAAACAATCATGCACACTTTCCAAAAGACAAAACATCCAAAGCAAGTGAAACACAATATATATATTTACATATGAACACCACTGGTAGTTTCAGCATGCCTCTTTTACCACGAGAGACCGAGCACAGATAAAACCTGCAGCTTGGTTAATGCAATCCATAGTAAAGCAGCAACCATAAAGATATCAGACAACACTGTGCTCTATACACCATTCATATTTAAATATTCGACAAAGGCTGATGATTTTATTTACTGTGACCATGCACAGCTCTCCACAAAATAATCAGCACTGAAACTTTTCTGGTAATTACGTCTCTGTTCAATTCCATACAAATTAGGATCATGAAGCAAAATTAGGTCCATCATCGTGTCACTGACAAGAAACTGACACAGTAATATAAGAGCTGACACATTAAACAACTGTGAACAACATAAAAAAAAAAAACTGTTACCCTTGAATTAAATAAAAAAAATCTCTTCTCAGTTAATCAGAGCAACACACCTCAGGAGAATTGGGAACAACACGCTGATGAATATTTCATCCTGCAGCAGAGCCTAGCACATATTTGTCTTTTAGTTTGCTCCATCAACACCAAACATGCAAGATTACTGACACAAACCATCAACATGGAAGAACCAATTATCTTATTAGGTCGTGCTGTCTGCAGGCAATCCAGAGGTGATCAGATCAATAGATACAAAACGTCTGACAGTATTAAGACCACTTGGAAATCTTCGGAAGCATTAGGCATAACATTATTGCGAGGGAGAGGTATGTGCGCTGTGACACATAATGGTGGAGTTTTAATATCAGCAGTTAATGAAAATAACAGGCCGAGTGTAGTGAGAGCAAGCAAACCTGACGTGAGGGATGAACTGCAGAATAATTCAACTTTCTCCCTCATTATATTTTCTTTTGCACGATTTCAATTTTTCTTGTTGATTGATATCTGATCAGTTTGGAGCAGCGCAGAGGAGCATTTAGATTGACATTAAACCCACAAAAGGGACACGGATCCCTATGAATATGATTATGAAAATTCTCATACTGTCAGCTTTGTGGTGTGGACGGTTTCACAGATTTGTATCAGGTCTATTTAGATCCAAGATTAGAGTATTGATCTCTGAATGTGACGCTCTTGGGTGTGTTGTTACGAATTATGGTCTTATTTATGACACAAAGTAAGTAGGATATGAATCCTTCATAGTCATGCAGAAAATCCTCAGAGCATGCGATGAGTTGTCTCTCATCCCGAGTCTTCAGGTCAGTCTCTCCAGTGTCAGTACAGTGGAAGAGGATCAGTTCATTCCTGCAGTGTAGATCCAGGCAGCTCGTTGGTCAGTGTGTGCCAGCGCTCCACCTTCTTGCCCTTGTTCTTCAGACAGTCTATCCAGTGCTGCAGAGTGTCTCCCTGCGAGTGGCACCCTAAGGACACACCCCCTAAGCAGTGCAGAGACAAGAAAGAAACTCATGTGACTTACTTTTGAATATGTTGTTCACTCTAAGAAGAGTAGGCGTAATTAGCTGTAGCTTCCACCCACACCTTTTTATAGAACATCTTCTATGTTTATTAGGGTTGTTTTGTTTTATGATTTATTGTTTTATTAGCAGTTATTGTATAATCTCTGTTTTCTTTTTCCCCATACTTTTTTGTGCAGTAATTTACAGACAGAAGTCAATTACAGTTTTAAAAGATAAATTGAGGGCTATAACCCAAAGAGCTGAACATTTTAAATTATCTATAGCAAAGGTAAAAATCTACTTAAATATATGAGTTTCAATACAAAATAAAACTTAATAACGTTTTTCCACATTAATTTCTTTCTTTCTAAGGACACAATGAGTCTAATTTGACCACCAGAGAGCTGAACAGTGTTGAAGAGTGCTACAATGTCCGTACTTAATTAAATTTCTACCTGAGAGATGAATTGTGAGTAGCTTATTTAAAGTGTAACAATAAAAAGGGACTAAAAGAAGATTAGTATTGCTTTATGACTTCAGATCAAAACTTGATCAGCCTGAGAGGAAAAAGTGTCACTGACTGACTGTGAATGGCTTCACAGTTCCAATTTCATCTATTCCTGGGTATTCACTAATACTTTCATTCTTTATTGTATTTCTTTTCTACTTATCAGCAATTCCCATGAAAAGACCAAAATCAAGTATTTTCTGTGTAACCGAAGCCTGATACAACTTATTCCTCTGTGCCACACTGTAGTTTATTTTGGGTGGATCCCACATACACTGTCATGGTGCTAGAAATTCTCTCTTCTCATTTTCATAGACAGCTGAAAATAGTCCCCAAAAAGTAAAGTTTGTTAAAAACTTCAGTGGACGGCTGTTTTAGGAAATTACTGAGCCCTTTTAAAAAGAATTATTCAGTATAAACAAGTGGGCTTGTTGCTATGAACACAGATGGGAAAGTCTGAAAGTATTGAGAGACGGACTAACAAACACACTGTGGTTTTGGTCTTTTCATAGAAGATTTGTTGAAAATTTTAAAAAACAGACTTAACCTTTACCTACTGTAAGAAACAAAAATCTTGACTTTTAAAGGTCCAGTGTGAAGTAGTGTAATGGCAGACACCCGCCCCCCTTCCAAATGTGAAAGTAGTTTCTCCTTCACATTTGGAAGCAGTGGTTGCAAAATGCATTAAAAATGCAAACAGCTCTATAGTCTGTGTTTTATTTATCCTTTCTGGGCTACTGTAGAAACATGGCAGACCCCGTAGAAGAGGAGCTGTTCCCTTTGTAGACACAAACGTCTCATTCTAAGGTAACAAAAACACAATGATTCTTATTTTCAGGTGATTACACACTAATGAAAACATACGTATGTATATTATATTCAATTTCTGCCAATAGATCCTCCTAAAAGTTGCACACTGGACCTTTAAATATCCCAGAAAAAGTAGAAGTAGACAAAAAAGTTATTCAAATAGAAGAACAGGAGTAAATGTAATTACTTACTCCCACTCATAGAGCAAGTGTGGTATAAAGCTCATTTTCAGCCAAAATGTCACTGGCACCCTTTTGGCAACTAAACCCTGCAAATTACAGGCAGTGCTGCACTCGGATCATAGCAGATAATAGAGAACATCTTAAAATATCTTTGGCAACATCTGCCATGGGTAGAACATTATTAGAATGCTAATAAAGTAGCCAGCCAGCTGATCAGTAATCCAAAAGAGCACCAGCAGGAAATGATTAGCTGCCAGCGTGTTTGTGGTGTCAGCTCACCTATGAAGTCATTGGACTTTCCCAGGTCGTAGTCCCACACTGTGACCTCCAGCGTCTTGGTAGCTAACTCTGAGAAGGTGATTTCATAGAAGAACTCCTGGGAGAAAAGAGGGATGAGAGCAAAGGTCAGAAGATCACATTTAACACACATGTTGCTCCTCTTCTATAAATCTCCCAAGTACTCACTAATGAGGCAGCAGATAATATTATGCAAACTGTAATTGGGTGTCTTGCAAAAAGGTTAGCATGCACTATAGTGTCTCTAAGGACTGTATAAGTCTAAATGAGCTGTCTCTTTACATTCAGCCACTGTAATTGTGCTTCCCGCTTTCAAGGCACATACACAAACATGGATGCCTACCTCATTAAACTCCGGGTTGAGAGTCTTTTTAATGACCGCTGTTTTGTGCTTGGATTTCTTATGAACGTCTGGCTTGAGGTACCTGAAACAGAGCCATACCATCACGTTACTGCTCACAGGTCATGGTAAAGCACTAATGGTACAGTAACAGTGATGACTACATAAAGGTCAGAGTAAGTTCATATAGGAAATCAATATGTTCTACTGTCAGTTATGGATACATTTCAGCTTTTTGTCATCTCACTGTTGTATTTCCTTCTTAGTCACTTCTTCACTGAAGGATGATTCAGAAATAATTTACATAAAGGAGTTTGATATTTCCATAGAGTCATACCCAGTGATGTAGTGCAGCATATACACAATGCAGCCTGCCTACTTATTTTTTTCAGTCTGCACTGGGTACACCACTTCTAAATCCTCTCTTTGTTAAGTGAACTGATGTTTTTCTTATAAATTGTGCAGTCATGACATGAGTTTTCATGAGTAGGTGGAGTAAGGAATATGGAATTAATTCACCCAAAATGCATTATTATGTAGTCATCTCAGTCGTCTGTGGGCCAGTTTCAAAATCTGCACCTCTTCTGTGGCTAATGTTCATTTCATAATGCTTCTTATGATTCTGTCAAGTAGCAGCACTTAAGTGATAATGTGCAAATACTACTGGCCCATTTTTGAGTGAACTAAATATACAAGAGTAGTCTCATTATATGTCACTGTTTGTAACACAGGGCTGCTAAGAAAAACATGGGGCATAAATTAAGAGTATGCACACTTTTCCAGGCACCACTACACCACTTGTCATACCTGTACCGTAAATAGGAAGCTACACCCAGTAGCCTGTTAGCTTAGCTTAGCATAAAGGCTAGATTTAAGTGGAAACAGCTAGCATGGTTCTGTCTAAAAGTCTTCCTTTATGCTGATACAGATGTGGCAGTGGTATCCATCTTCTCATCTATCTCTCAACATGAAAGTGAGTAAACGTATTTCCCAAAATGTCAAACTATTCCCTCAAAGGTTTAATGTATTATTTGTGAAACTAACCGTGTGAGCTTGTGGACTAATCAGTAATTCCTTCACCAACACAGCACAGATTGAAAAAGCTCCGCATCCCTTCGCGGGGTGTCATTAAATTCTCAGGATATTTTTAAGCCAGCTGGAAGGAGTGTGGCGAAATCTCTATTCACATTTTGCTTTCCACCCACCACCCACAGCTCGGAGAGCGTATGTTCCCACACGCTCTCAGACACAACAAAGCATCTGGGAAAGAAAGCTCCCGCCAAAGGGCAAAGATGCAAGCACGCATCCAAAATGAAACAAGGTGCGTGATGTATTACTGTGGATGTGTGAGGGATGTATGCATAGATTCAGTGGGTGTTAAGGAGGAGGGAGAAAACTTGAGTTTAAAGGCATGACGGGAAAGGAGAAGTGAGATTAGTGTGTATGAATGTGTGTGTGACAGGAGGTTGTTTAATGTCTTACTTATTTCACAAACAACCCTCTAAGCCAGAACCAGCACTCAGGAAGAAGAGGGGCATTTTAAAACTCATTTGTCCAGTTTGTGTCAGGGTGCATCATTCAACCCAGGGATCTTCCTGCCCTCGCTGGCACACACACAAACACGCAAACAGTGACACACACAGTATTGCTTTTCTTTCATCAGTGAGTAATGAAACTCCAGCAGACCTCTATGACACTAACAATAGCACCCAACTCCGTCTCCTGCATGATACAGTACGCCTATAACATTAGATCATGTCACTGCCTTTCAGTCCATTCTGAAGGCTGTCAATACACACACACACAGTGTTATCATTATCTTGATGAATGAGTGATATATTGCACAATGGCTTCCACTTGTGTGAAAGCGGCCCTCATTTGTCACCATTACCGTATGCAGGGCTAACTCAAGTCATCTATCACTGATGAGAGACGACAAAAGGTGATTCATGGGGTCAGTATAAGCCAACGGCCAGGTAAGACCACACCACGGGTGGAGGGAGAGCTGGATGGCTCGAGTGGAGGGCCTTGAAATGTCAATCCATCACTTTAAGTTGTGTATTAGTTATTTTAAATGTGTCCAATGACATGTGCTATTTATTGAATCAAATACACCATGGCATTCAGTTAGTACTTTCATGCTTACGTTTTAACGTAGGGGTCTGAGTAGCCGTTGACGTCCATGGCTGCCAGGTGGGCGCAGCGTTTGACACCCACACACAGCCCGCCACGAGCCCTCTCCTTGGCCTCGCCCTTCACGTCGCCATCACTGGCCGGGGGGAGGAACTGCAGGCAGAGCAGCAAACGGCCTCTCTCCTCTAGACTTCTCTGCTGCTCAGTCTCCCACTGAGAGAAAGAGGGGATATGAGAGATAGAAATAGAAAAACAAAAAAATCAGGAAAAAGGTGTGTGAGCTACGTTTGTAGCTGCTAGATAAGTGACTGACTGAAGGTCCAGGGTTAAAAGGAGGCCTTATATAGAAAATGATGGCCATGACCTGCTGATGAAACGGGTTAGAGACGTTACAGCTCCTGTAATCAATATATTTATATTGCCAGTGGATTAAATGTCTGTGTGTAATATAAAAGGGGTCGCCCAGCTCTAAGGAGCTGTTTAGTTTAATGGCTTCCAGCTTATTGTTTTCTTGTGTTTACTGCTGAAGTTCACTCTCACTGCTCTCATTAGTCTTGTCTTCAGGTGCAGCTGGCAGCTGTTTTCAGCGAAAAAGCTTTGATAAACCCCACTGTACACTACCTGCTCAGCACCAAACAGCTGACAGACAAAGTTAGCGACCAGCCGGTGAACATAACGGAGCCTTTAGCAGCTAAAGACTCAGTTATTTCCCTCAGGAGTTGGTCAAGAGCAGAACATAGCTAAAAGGAGAGTATATATTGGACCGCACGACAAATGAATGCTGATGCTGCTCGGCCTCTGTCTGATGTGTAAACAAGACACAGCTGTTTGCCAACACGCTCGCCATATCAACTTAATAATGTGATATAATATGTCAGCGCTGTGTTTACTGAGGCCAAAAAATCAACTGCATATATAAATACATAATACAGCAGCACGGCAGAAATCCAAGCAAGATTATGTAACTTCTGCAGCCACCTTTGCCACAGGTGACAGGATGAGCGCTACAACACAGTGTAACACTGTAGTAGAGATCTGTACAGGCTTAAAACACGATTCCAGATATCTACCGCGTATTTAAAGGACCAGTGTGTAGAGTTTAGTGGCAGTGTAGTAGCACGTTGCAACCAACTGAATATTCTCCTAAATATTACACACTGGAACTTTAAGACCCAAGTAGACTGAAGCCTTAATGCCAAAGCATTTGTTACTGGCTTTAAGAGGACCAAACTAATGCAATCCATTGACTACACCCGTTTCCTCTGTAGACATGGCATTGCATATCCGCTTGTGGCAATTTATGAACATACCCTAACCTAACCAAACCTTAACCACAGTGGTGTAATATCAGAAAATGGTTGTTGAATCTCAACTAATAAGCTGTTGAATTGTTACAAATATTAAAGTAAAAGCAATACTAAAGTATCTGTAGGCAGACTACCTAAATAAAGTGTTACGCTCCATCTTTTTAGTATCAAAACCCCACCGAAAACCTGACTCTTTATCCGGCCAGTAATACAAGTAAAGAAGAGTCATTAATCCACTAAAATCCCTCAGTAACATCTATCTAAACATCTTATGCTACTCGTCACAACAGACCAAGTAAGGCTGTAGTTTCAAAAACCCCTGAGTGTATTGAACTGAGCCAAGGTGAGGTTTATTGTTTATGAATTCAGCCTTTTATTAATAAGAACATAAATGCGTCATCTTCTTTCAAAACTAACATTGCTTTAAACTGTACTTTGTGTCCTTTGCTGCCTCTTCTTCTTCTCTCATAAGCAGACACACCTAAAGAGCTCAGTGACTTTCATCTAACATTTGAGCTCATCTGCCACAGCTCAGAGAAAAAACCCAACTATCACTAACATTGTAATAAACAGGACTGCCTCGGACAAACCTTAAAGCCATATTAATGCACTTTGTCGCTCGTGGCTCACGTCTTTTCCATGGAAAACATCAAACTGTTTCCAAAGCATTTGACAACAAGCGGAACAACAGAGTAGATTCAAAGTGACAGATGAAAGAAAGCGAGGAAGCAGCAACAGAGGGTGAAGAAGGGGAAGACGATGTTCTCACAGGACCGTGACTCACCCTCATGGCCAACAGCACCAATACATGTATGTTATTTATAGGAGAGACGTATGTTTGCTATTTCAGGTTTTTTCGTCACTGCAGGTGCATATTTTTTAACCAAGTTTGTTGTTTCACCACAGAAAATGGAAAATACTTTTATTGCCTCTAATGTAATTTTAATGTGAAATGGATTCCATCCCTCCTCTACTGTATTTTTCACCAAAATGTCTCTCCTCTCCTTTATATCTCTCCATCTCTCATTAAGTCTTATCTTCAGGCGTGAGGTGGACACAGCCAGGACGATCAATACGCCACACGGCCCTCACTCCTCCATGCTCCTCCCTCCCTTTCTCTAATTGTCTCAACAGCTTGCTCCCTTCCTTTTTCCTTATTCTGTCTTCCCTATGTTTCTCCTCTCCTTGTCTGTGTTTTTCTTTGGGAATCATCATTACTGCCAACAGGCAGTTCACCATCTGCCGTGACTGAGAAGGGAGACAGTAAAACTCGCAATTAGTGAGGATAATTTGCACCAGGTATCTGGTAATGAAACAGCTCAGACCTTCACAGATCGATAGAGAGCAACTCATTAGGAAGGCGGAAACAAACAGGCATCAACGGCACGCAGCCACACACAGTGACAGATGAATGGGAAAAGGATAAATTTGTGGGTGGGATTTCAAGGCTACAGAGCAGACACATTAAACAACCTTGACTATGGTGAGAAACACAGAGGCAGCTGTTTCACTCCAGTTATTTTAATGGAGTTAAAGAACTACACCGGCCCTTTGTTAATTTAATTTACCCAATATGTGGTGAGAGAGGATTGGCTCCGAAATCATCTCTAATACAACTGAGACTGCCACAGCGTCCGCCTCTATGTCCCTCTCTTCAGCCACCACATTCCCAGCGTCCTTCACCATTATTCTTTACTTGTCCACCAGATGCCACCGCCTTGTCTTCCCCACCTGCACCTCATTCCCTGATCAGCCACTCTCTGCATAGACCAGCCCACATCCTCTGATCCTTTGTCAGTTCATCTTGTAGTTGCTATGTTCCTGTCTTGCCTTTTGATTTTGCTTTCGAGCTTCTGCTGCCCTGAACCTGCCTGCCTGTTACCTGTCTACATACCTGTCAGTGAGCTACTTTTGTCTAATAAACCACTGAAGTCATCCTGCTGCCTGCTTTCTCTGCATTCAGTCCAATCCTTTATTTCCTGAGTCGCAACAGAGACATTAAAAACCAGCTCTGACATTGAAGGACCAGACCAGTGTGTTCACTTGCATACTTTACATTTTTGTAACTTGTTTAAGAAAACCCCCCCACCATTCTTCCTCTTATAAATTGAAGGTTGAGTTCATAGGCAATAGGCACAGTAGCCTATAGAGGCTAATGTCGGCTGACGGCTGCTGTTCAGCAAAAGCTACATAATCTCACTTTAATGTAGATTTCTAGTTTTAGATACAGTTATGCAGTTTTCCCAGATGTACTGCACTTAATTACAGTACCTCACAACAATAAATGAATGCTTGTTTAATGGATTACTTGACTTAAGTGAGTCTGCTAATTGATTTTTGTGTTTTACGGAAATTTATGGAAATAAACAGGCCCCTGGAAAATAAATTAAAATGCTTTGCAGAATAGTTAGCTTTGATGTTAAGTATACACAATTTGTGTTAAGTGCTTTAATTTGAATGGCGACCACCTTAACCTGCAAGTCTTAAGAAATTAACATAAAACTCAAAGAGCAGGTGAGTAAAGTTCATCATCAATTCAACCCAGTTTTTGGTTTAATAGTTGTCAAATTGCATATTTTGTCTAATCAACAGCCCAAAATCTGAAGATATTTTTTACAACCAATCAATAAATAATGTAATAAATTATAAATAACAGCACAAAATTCTCACATTTGCGGTCTCTTTGCTTTTTAAATGCCTTAAATGATTAATCAGTTATCAAAAATGTTATTTAACTTTGCTAATCAGCTGATTAATTTAAAATTTCTTTCAGCACTTATAAACAGTTAAACCTGTTGCGCTGATTATGCTTAATTGAAAACCGATGAAGAATGATATTTTGTTTCCATAGAATGAAAACTAAAAGCAACCTTGGAATACAAACAGGTTTATTCTCATACTTTTAGGATGTTTGTCACGTTCTGGCACAGCAACGTGATTCTGGAGCCAGTGAGGTGAACAAAGCTCAGTGTAGTCCTTTACAACGAGCTGAAAGATGGACTATGAGGACAGACAGAGAGACAGAAGTGAGGTCAAGGTGACCAAAACAGAGGAGTCATGCATTCACCTCTCTCAGGTAGCAGGAGATACCTCTCAGGGCCGTGCTCATCGCAGTCGGAGACGGCAGCTGGAGGCAGAGAAGGCAAAAAGAAGAGATTAACATTAAGCGAATATGACTGACAGAGAAACTGCAGAAGCAGGTTAGAGGAGCAAAGGATGAAGAGAAAGGGATGGATGTATCGAGTCGAGGGTAAAGCCACTTTGAAAATGACAGGCCTGACACAGCGTCTGGTTTGCAGGATGACAGAGGGGCTTTAGCGTTTGATCGCAGAGTGGCCACCAGCCTCAGAGGGCCAATCTAATACCAGCAGCCCTTTCCAACTCATAAAGAACAAAAACCCAGCCCCCCCCCTTATACACACACACACACACACAAACACACACACACATGCCCCCCGCTCTCTCAACCACTTTTATTTTTTTAATCCATTTGTTTCTCATCTTTCTCACTTTCTATTGACCCCCGCCCCACACTCCTCTCCCTTTATTCTCCCGATCTCTATGTACTCTTTTCTCATGTGTGACCCGACTGACATTTAGCCTGCGCAGAAAGCTATTTCTGGGCTATAAGAAAAGATGTGATATTCTGTCCCTTGTAATTCTCAAGCTCCAGGACTCATCTCAGTTATGTCAGTAGGTCAATATTGTCGGATAAATGCAAAATATACAGTCTGGTCAAAAGTATGTGGATACAAGTGCATAAAGAGATGTTTTTCCAGTTTGATCAGAGCCCTGACCTGAGCACCATCCATCACCTTTTGGAAGAACCTGAATGGAGCCAGGACTTATCTCTCAACTGCAGGGTCGACCTCACTAATAACTGAGCTAAATGTGAGCCAATCCCTGCAGCCAGGTTTTAAAATCTGGTAGGAAGTCTTCCTATAAGACTGGCGGCTGTTATAGCAGTAGATTAATGGTTTGGGGGTTTTGAATGGAATGACAGTAACCACACCTGGGGGTAAAATATTTTTGGCCGTGTAATGTAACTGCACATGCCCTTTATAAAGAGTTAAACTAATAACTATATTAAATATATTCCTTTGATTTGTACCGTTTGACCAATTACTCTCCAGAGGATCTAGACCAAAATCCAACCTCTTATCTAATGCTAGTTTAGTTGCCTGTACTGCCTAGGACTAGGTGCTCAGAGTGATGGGGGAATATAGATGTTTACACTGGCAGTGCTGGAGCTTTTCAGATCTGGAGCAGGGGGAGAAATGCTTACAGAGAGTGGTGCTGGTTGAGCCAGGACTGGAGCTGGCAATGTACCCGGGCTCAGCAGCTCTATGGACACAGCTAATGGCGGATGTAAAGACTCTCAGAGGACGACGGAGGAAGCTGAGTAGATAAAAGGAGAGTGAAACTGCTGCACATCTTACATCTGGACTGGCTTTTAGCCGTTGGCGAGAGCGTTGTGAATTAAAAGGCTGCAGACAGCGAGCTGGTCTTCTTGCTGTTGGACTAGTAAGCGATATTGGCAGACTTGTGTTGTTGCATTTGCTTGATGTTTGGCTAGTTAGAAAAGTTGTCGACTTGCTAGTACAACCCAAGAACACATTTGAGAGATCAGTCTTTTTATTTTCTGTTTACTCTCAAATATCAATATCAGCATTAGCAAGTCTTTAATCTCAAATAAAGGGGAGGATCTTGGTATTTGTTCAGCCTGTTGTGCTAATGGTGCTACAGTGATTGTACAGACACATTGGTTTTTTCTATATTATGAGACCCAGGTGTGTGGTTATCATTGGAGTAGATTGGTACGTCTACTAAATATCGACATTTTAACGCCTCCCTACTGGCGTGTAAACAATTTCCTGGCTTCCATCTTCAACTCCCTCCTTCTGTTTTTTTTCTGTTTTAAAAGATGAGTTTGTGAGTCACACAAGAAGCCTAATATATTAAATATTACTGTGCCCTCCAGTCATGTATCTCTCTGATACACATTCATTTTCTTCTTTCCCTCCTTTTAGTCTTTCTATCCTATCCTCCCTTTTATTCTTTCTTTCCCCCCGTCTTCTTCTCACAGGAGGTGGATGCTCCAGACAGATGTTAAAGTGTTTGGTCTGGTCAGGCTTCACACGACGCAGGGCCACCCGCGACTCTCCGATGAACTCATTATGTGTCAGCTTGTCTTCGTCGCACACGGACACCCTGGGAGATAGAGACAGGAAGGAGGGAGGGGGAGGTAAAAATGAGAAAAAGCATGAGAAACAAATAGGGAAAGAGGGAAACATGAAGAGGAATAAGAGAGGCTCATTAATGAGAAACAGAACATTTTAGAGTGCACAGATGTAATGTGCTTTGTATGTGAGGGAGGGTGGTACTCAAACAACTTCACATATTATGACTCATTTAATTATTCCTAATGTTGGAGTAACATTATAATGAGGGAGGGAAGTTGTTGATATAAACCTGACTTGAATTAAAAAGAAAAAAAAAATCACCTTTAATTCAGCATCTGTATACGCATATTGTACAAGTAATTACCATTTTCCCTCCATGGGGAATTTAGATAGTGTGAAAGTGCATCACGCAAGGTTAAGTCAATCCATATTTATGGACCTGGCAAACTTTTATACATGCCATAACGTCAGCCGAAATGCATAAGTGGGTGGGAGCAGCAGAGAGGAGTGGAGGAGAGGGAGGGAGGCTGCGTATGTTAAATCAAATGCCGTGGAGTGAGTGATGAAGTGATGTGGGTGAGAGGGAGAGATAAAAAACTTACGAATTTATTTAAATCCGTGCATGTGTGTGTGTGCAAGGAGTCGTTTATGCATGCAAATGTGGAAGTCTATAGGCAGAAGTGAAAAATCAGTATGCTACAAGCTAACTGAAATCCAATGTGATTGCCTTTTTCTGTGCTTTATGTAAATATGAATGAAAGCTCAAACTAAGAATGCAATTTGTCAGAGGAGAGGTCCAGATGTGAACGCGCTGCCTCTCGGCCTCCTGTTTCAATCGACTTCTAACTAAATGAATAACCACAGCAATGAAACCTCGCAGTCACCTGCTGTCTTCAGTTTCCGGTAATAAAACACGGTATTGCACAAATGTAGAAGGTGCAAGGGGCCAGTTGCCTGCATGGGGACACCACATATGTGTTGGCATCCCCCCAAAAGGTAATTTCTGGTAGCTTATTATCCAAAAGGAGACCTGGACCCTTGAGGATCAAGGAAAATGGAAGAAAGAAGGAACAGAACATACTGGCATATTAGGCGAAAAAAGATGAAAGCAGGAGGATAATAAAGAGAGATGAAGGCAGTCAGAGCAGAGAGGTGAAAGATGGCGCGATACATGGACGAGTAAAGGACAGCTATGATCAAAAAGGCTTGAAGATGGAGTGGTAAGCGAGCAGGCAATAGGTCAAATAGTCAAGTGTGAAAGGGATGCAAGGCTGTAGTGATGTGGTAATATACACATTTTACTGTCATTATGACAGCTCACATTTCTTACTGCATCAGAAAGATTTCATAATGTCAGTGTGATAAATCTAATCACACATACTGTCACCAGTTTAAATGTCCATGTCCATGTACAAATGTTGGCTGATGCTGTACACAGCTCAGAAGTCCATTTAATTCAATTCAGTTCAATTTTATGTATAATTATGTATATATATTATGTTTGTATAACGGCAAATCATAACAGAAGTTATCTAAGGACATATTTCATACAGAGCAGGTCTAGACCCAGTATGCCACTCAATAGATTACCACTGTTACCATGGCAATAACAACTATAATAGTGGATATATGACTAATGTAAAATACGAAGAAATATGACTAGTATAAACTACATACTTATTAGAGGCTTTTTCTAGTACTGCAGGGCAGGTGAATGATGATATCTTTTATACTGGCTCTTATTAAGGCTCATAAAAAATAAACGTTAGATATAATTAAAAAGAAAATACTCAAGTACTTGAGTAAAAAAACCAACAACCCTCAAATGTTTAACTCATCAAACGATAAAATATAGACTTACCATGAATATATGTGACTATACAACTTCCCAGCAGAAATATATGAATTATCACATACAATGTTGCCTAACCTAAAGTATTTGTAGCATTCATCACTTCCAAATCTATTGTGCTTTTGTTTTCTTTCTTCATCATAGGAGCAATATAAATACACAATTTCAACTTATGAGAGAATACGCCTGCAGCTGACTGGTTTAAAGCTGGAAGAAAATATAATAATAGAGATGCAGTTTTTCCAGTTTAGAAAAAGTAGGAGTTCTTTTTCACTTTTTCAAAATGTGACATAGCTATCTTGTGTAGTTCTGGTTGAATGAAGCTGCTGTCGGACAAGAAATTATATGAAAAATACACTTCAAGATAAAACTGACTCAAAAATACAATCTAAAATCTACATACAATACAATCTACAAGCTACAGTAGCTGTTTATAAAATGTGTTAAACTGGTTGGATTCATTGTTTTAAATTTGCCCTAACAGCACTTAATTATATCTATTACATAATCAGGATTTATGTGGATGTGAAAAAGTGAAAAGTTTAAAACAGCTTTGTACACAATTTCAAACGACATCAACATGTATACAAGTTTCAATAGGTTAAACTCTAAAATCTTTAAACGCCTCTGCTGAATTAACAGTGTCGAAGGCCGGTTGTAGGGACAGTTTCTCTAATTTCCCCTGAGAGATCAACTGTCGATCCTATTTAAATCCCACTCCCACGTGTGACGTGGCAAAGTTTTAGTCACAGGCAGAGACAATTCGCAGCTTTCGTCACCTCTGGAGGGGGTCAATGAAATTAAAACACCCCGCGGTGCCTAGTCTGACCTCAATCTGTCACTGCAACTTGAAAAGAGAGTAAAGCAGGGAGAAAGACGGAAAGAAAGACAAAGAGAGAGGGATGCTTTGGAAAGAATGAGGGGAGATCTTTTCTGATCCTCGTGGACAGGAGAGATGTGAAGACTAAGAGGAACGTAGGTGAGTTGACAGAGGAGGATCAAAGGATCAGTGAAGATAGAAAGTGAGAGGGAACACGTTGAAACGGAGAGGAGGAAGGCCTATAAACCGAAAGCAACAGACTTTGTGATTGAGATAGACGATAAGAAATCCTTTGTAAGCAAGAGTCGACTCTCTGATAGCCAAGACAGCACAGAGAGGCAGCAAGTGAAGGAGACAGAAATAGCAAGAAAGCCTCGACAGCAAACATTTACCGGAGTGTTTTGCGGTACATGTCTTCCTCTGTGATTCCACAGTAGGTGAGCGTCTCGTTCCACACAGGGTTAAGCGTGTTGCGAACAGTCTTGGTTTTCAATTTATTTGCCTGTGCATCAAAACAAAGAGGAGATGGAAAAATTATAATAAAACTCAAAGCTTTTTTCTCAAAGCTTCAAAGAGCAAACAATCTCAACAGGAAAACCATTTTTTTTTTTTTTTTTTTGTGTCTATAAGGTCATTTTGTTTTAGTGCAGATTTACAGGTCTGCATTTGCACTTTCAGAATGCAGCTCAAAATTTTTGCTAGAATGAAATATACACTCAAACATCCTGGGAAACAGGTTACTGAAGGTCTTCTTTTTGTAGAATAAATGCAAGGACCATGTGTTGATAACAAAATCAGACCTTGCAGGCTCCTGGCAGCAGGTGCAGCTTGACGTAAGGGTCAGCCAAACCGTTGAAATCCATAGGCTTCAGACCCTAATAGAGACAGAGAGATAAGCTATAAGACAGGGATATGAAATAATTGGTGGAGAACATTGTGAAAGCTGCCAACACCAGTAATGAATGTTTAAGTGGTTACCAGACTGAGAGGTGAATGGTTCATTTACAAATTAAATCTAAAGAACAGTGGGGGGGCTTTTAATTTGACAGACAGTTTCAGTTGACCAGTGAGCCACATAATGAATAGTATGGTGAATATTAGGTAATTAGCACTGCAAAGTACAATACTCCTCAAGACATTTTACTAACAAAAATGTCAACCTCATGGTTGCCACAGAGGAAAAGTAAGAACAATTTATTCTCTAGGGAACATGAATATCTGAATACATCCAGTAATTGTTGAACTATTTCAATCTGAACCAAAGTGGTGGACTGACCCCTAAAGCCGCAATGCTAGCATGGCTAAAAACAGGAGTTGTTTAAGGCTTACAGCTTTGTGAGTCACTGGTTGAACACATGAATATAACTAGTGAGGAGTGGTGCCTGGAGAAGGGGGTATATCCTTAATTTATGCCCCAATTTGAGTGGTCTGTCCAGCAAAGGGTAAGCGCTCTATTATAAACAGATTACTTTTGCATATTTAGGTCTAAAATGGGCCAGTAGTATTTGCACACTGTCTCTTAACTTCAGCATTAGCCACAGAAGAGGTGCACATATTCAATCAATAGTGTCCCACAGACAAGTGAGACAACTACACAATGTTATCCTATGTTATGCCTTCGTCATCCTCGGAAAAAAAGATCACTACTGAATAAAACCATCAGAGGGGATTTAGAAGTGGGTATACCCAGTGCTGACTGAACAATAAGTGGGTATAGAATATGATGGACACAAATGTAAATGAAAATTAGAATTTACTTTCTCTAGCTACAAGGTCAAACATCCTGTGTTGGCTCTAGTGGACTTTTTTCTGAGGACAGTATTTACCTTTGCTCTCAGGACTGTGCAGCGTAAGGAGCTGGTGGCTCTCTCATACAGTAGATCAAACTCTAACGTCCCCAAGGAGGCTGGAAGACAGTTAATGAAAAAACATTATTAAACTGTGTCTTACTTTGGTAATTGCTATTAACTGATGGCTTCATTACATTGTATAGAAAATGCTGACAGGGAGACATACAATTATGGACTATCAAGAAAAACCGTCTGCCTTGTCTTAATGTTGACACATTTTGGAAAACAACCTTTTTCCTCTGCTGAGAGTTAGATGAGAAGATTGACGCTGCTCTCATATTTGTCTGGTAAATATAATGCTATCGCCAGAAGCTGGTTAGCTTAGCTTAACATAGACTGGAAACAGCTGCCCTGGCTCTGTCAAGTTATATCTTGTTTGTTACTACTGACAACAGGAAGTTGCTTTGCTCGGCCAAAAGGTTAAGGGTCATCCGCACCAAGAACAATAGCTATAATAAAACTATAACGATGAGAGCATCCACACTGATGAATAATAAATAACGTTGTTATGTGCTGCACGCCTCAGCTGTGTCAGCAGAATATTGGAAAATGGATGACGTTATTGATGAGCTGTTAGTGCTGTATGTTCTTCAAGACCTTCAAAGACAAGAGGAGACTCCAACACTCTGTTACAAGAGCTGTAATCTTTTGAAAACTACTGGTAAAAAACAGGACATCATTAGGGACTTCAAAGATCCCATTTGGCAGTATGTCTCAGGTGAAATTACATTTCTTTTTCTGTGTAATTTGCAGCAATATGATGCTATATAAGCATTTAATAAGTTACGATATTGTTCGCCACTGTCGTTATAGTTGAGGAGTGCACTTTGCTTTCCACTTGTGTTAGAGCGAGTTTAAAAAGATATATTAAGAGTTGTTATAGTAATTGTTTTTGGTGTAGATGCCCCTCAGACAGACATGAGAGTGGTATCAGTCCTCTAACCAAACTCTCTGCAGAGACTGTAATTCCCAATATGACAAACTATTCATTTGAGACCACCTGCTCAAGGTTCTCTTTCAAAGCTGAATCAGATGGAAACATTTAAAAACAGCTGAACACAAAGTTTTAAACAAACTCATTAAGTTTTAGTGTTAGCATTAGTTTATGCTGTCTGCAGATGAAAACATCTGCTAGAGATAGTTTTCATTTCAGCCTTCAAAGTCAACAGTTGTCGGCTATAGCTTAATTTGAGAAGCCTGTTTTGACTCAATCTGAAATCAAAGGACCATTATTTCAAATATCACTTAGAATTTCAAAGATAAATCTTCCACCAACATCACTTTAAACTGCATTTGTGCTGTGCGAGAACATAAAGCTTGACAGGTGTAGCAACAATACCTTATCAAAGGGTCAGTTTTGATTTCTCTGAAGCATTCTGGGCCTTTTCTCCAAATTTACATCTGCCTTGAGTTCTTTTTTTTATCCTCTGACTCAAGCAGCTTTTGTGAAACAGGGTCATTACTCTCAGGTGACTCACTGTTATCGTCGCTGTCACAGCTGTCGATCTCAATGGAGGTGTCCATGCTACTCATGGCTGACAGGGAGCCCCCTCCGCCCGCCGCCCCTGGTAACAGTGGTGACAACAGGCTGCTGCTCCCCCCTCCACCTCCTCCCCCACCGACAGCCCCTCCACCTTGACCTGCGCTGCCAGGGCTGAGCGCCGTGGGAGCTGCCACCTGATTGGGCGAGAGTGGCTCAGAGAAGGAGGAAGTGGGCGACAGGCGAGGGAAGTAGGCAGAGATTTGACGGATGGGGCGGATGGGGCCCGGACATACGTCGATGGCCATGTGCTCCTGGATGGTGATGGCTAAACTTTTTCCTTTACGCACAGTCATAGGGCTAGAGTCGGAGATAGAGGAGGAAGAGTTAGCAAGTTAAATCACTTTTCAGCAATACAACAATTCAAACTTCGGAAAGCATTCATCCAAAGCAAGAGCGAAGACACTGATCCACAGATACAAGCCGTTCTCAATTTCACCTCTGCTATTCGAAGCGAAATAAGGTGAGCTTAGTAAGATGGTTGCCGATACATAAGATCTTTCCCTGTGTCTGGCTATCTCTGAGATATCATCACAACTAATAGGAGTTTCTGATTTGCCATATAGTCAAGAAGGAGAACTTGTGATAGGAAGCGTTTATCTCAATCTACTCTCACGCTGAAACCTCCTTCAACATAATTAGAACTCTTAAAAAGAAAGACATTACTCATAAAATGACAAAATACCGCAGAGGATGTGCACAAATTTGCATTTCAATTGAATACATCTGAATAAACTCAAGCATATCAGGGAGGATAAAAGATAATAGACAATAGGGGTCTCCCCCGAATCCTAATCATCCTTTATGAAATTGCAGTGTGTGTGAGGCGTTGAGGCATGCATGTTATCTAAAGTGCTTAACAATCCTCCAAAGACAGACAGGTAATTATGGGATGAAGTCTTTACAGGCAGGAACGCTCTTCAGTACACAGATGGAAAGAAGAAGTCCTGATGATTATATAAAGTTGTGGTAGCAGGGAGTAGAGTTGACCACAAGGCTGATGTGTCTGCTCTCTTCCCGAAATAAAAAAGAGGGGGCTGGATTACAAATATCTCACAGCTTTTGTTTTCTAAAGACAGCAGGCCTTGAGGGGGCGTTCTGTCCTCAATACTGAACAAATCCCCCCCTTCTGCTCTCTCTGCATTAATCGATTGAAACTGAGAAGTGAATATTTGCACTGTGTATATTTGCACTTCCTCTGTGTTGTCTGTAGGATGAACGTCTATGACATATTAAAATATCAAAATGAGGAGAATCTCAGGACCCAGAGAGGGAGGTTTAAATAAACAGACAGGAATATAGTGGCCATATTGACTTTATTCTGGTGACGGAAGGGCCTGAAATTAATCCCCATGAACAGAAGTAAGCGGAAAATCAGGAATAAGGACTTTTTGAAGATCCTTATGCATGTCATTAATGGAGTGGATGATCTCTAACCTGCATCCATATTAAAGTAATAGTTCAGCAGACACTTATTTGCTGTCCTGCTGGGACTTAGATGAGACAATTGATACCAATCTAATGACTGACAGGTAATTACAATGGAAATAGTCCCACATTTTTGTTACATGTTAACATGGTAATGAGATTTAGAAGTGGTGGAAGGTGGATTATTTTACTTTTGGAGACAAACTAGTTGACACTAGTGGTTCCCAAGGCTTCACAGGGGGTTGTGAGGCCTTCTTGATTTTAAGGGCCGTGAAAAAACTTTTAAAATATACACAGTAGGCCTATATCTCTAAGAAAATGGAATTAAATTATTAATTACTAGTTGACTACTAGCTAATTATTTAAGCAATACACTTTGAAGACCTGAACACAAGCTATATTCAGAAACCATTCTGCTAAACAGCCTAAATACAGAGATAAAACAACCAAGGAGCTAATAGAAGAGCCAAGCATAAGGGAGAAGAACAAAATAAACATATTAGGTAAAAATTGAAAGAAAACATAATTCAGACAAAGGATTGTATAAAAGGTTCCTATAAATATCAGGAAACTCATCTCTGATGCAATATTCATAGGAAATAATTCATCTAAATCGCTCGTTTTACCCAGACTTCCCGCTGCTTTTGAGTTCACTATTTGGTTTCATTGTACAATTCATCAGTTGTTATGTACTGTTATCGTTATGCATTGAATATAACATATAGTTTTCATAAAATACGTCACTTAGTCACCAGTCTACTTAATTATAGAACAAGGGGTCCTTTAGAGAAATGGTTGGGAGCCACTGGTACACACAAGGGTTGTCAAAACTATAATTATTCCCTTACTCCTGTCTGGGGGGTCACAACCTGAGATTCATTTCAGACCCTTTAGTCATCAGGGTAAAGTCAATATGACTAATGACACCCTCGCTCTGAAACTGCTGCCTCTGACTGTTGACCTTCAGCAGAATTACAGGCAGTGAGGGTCATTTGTCATGTATGGTCCATTCTCTCTGCTGTGAGCACAACAGTGGGTGATACACACCACAGCTCATCCAGCTTTCCCTTGGCTGAAGATGAAACAAACTTCCACAAAAACATGCCACAGTGTGCCAGCCTGCAAACTTCCTCGACTCATTTGACTGAAAGGACTTTGACAGACCACTGGCTCTGCAATGGAACATGATGGACATCTTGCCTTTCGAAAATCAGCAGCAGCCATTTTGGTGCCATTAAGGACCACAATAGCAAAATTAATGACTTCTGAAGCGCTGAACAACTGGTCAGAGTTCATCACTGCTCAATTAAGTAGCACAGAGATAACCTCAGACTCCTGCACTTCAGGACAAGACTCTGTGGCTCTTGTTTTTTAAATCTGAGGTGGATGATTGTAGAGAGAAGATGAACCAGAGCTTATCACAGCTACCGCGCCATAAATCATTTCAGTCTGGCACAACAATAAAAGAGAAATAATCCTAAATTAAGTGGATGGCAAGACATTAAAGAGAAGGTGAAAACAAGTTAATGAAACTCCCTGTGATGAGGATGATTATGGCAAGAACTGATTAAAAGATGAATTAACTTGGAGTATAATAATGATTGTTTATTATGAATAATACATAATCCCTCAGCACACACACAAACATGCACAAATATATCAATACTTCCACTCAAGCATGCCAGCAAACATACATACAGACACACTTCTGTCAGATCATTAATTCATCTCTTTCCACACACACACACACACACACACACACACACACACACACACACACACACACACACACACACACACACATACACACACACTATGCAGCTGTTGCAGGCTTGTGAGCGAGTGTCTGTTGATATAATGTGCGCAGTCAGTCGCCTCCCAGTCCTGGCAGATGTGGCCGTAAGCTGGAGCAGCACCAGCACCAGCAGCAGCAGCAGCAGCAGCAGCAGCAGCAGCAGCAGCAGCAGCAGCAGCACACACATACAGCCAGGAGGCCTGGTGGCTTACAGCTCGCAGGGAAGCAGAAGCTCACAGAGGGATCATGATTGATCGCTCTCATGTTGCCAGCTGGAATCTTTCTCTCATCTTCTCGTTTCATCATCCTCTTGTTGCTGAGAAGTGTGGCAAGGCACACTCGGAATAACAAGGTGCAGTTTTCACCTCGCACTTCACAGGTTTCACTGTGCCAAAGGTCTTTTACGTAGATGACTCTTAGCCTCGGAGCACATGGCTGAGCAACTTTACATAATTCCTATAAGCTACAAGATAATGGCCCAACTTGTCCACAGAAACCACATACAGCAGCCCTGTGGCTGTTAGTTATGCAACCATATACAGGACAGTGCATCCTTCATGGCCCCCTTGTACATATACTTGTGCCGTTACATATGTTTCCAGCTTTGAGAGGGAGGAATGAAGCTGCCAGAAGCCGACAGTCAGGAATATCTTTGTGCAACATGCGACCTCCCCTCCTCCTCTTTCAGCTCCTTCACTTTAAATTAGAGTCACATCACAGCATGGACGTTCTTTCCCTCAAGCCCCCTCCTCTACCTTCTCATCTACACTTTAATAATCCACCTCTTCTCTTCTTCTCCCCTCTTTATCTCTGTCATTATCACCCCGTCAGTGTTTCTCAGACACCATTATTCCACCTGTAGGCATGTGGGCATCTGTCTCTCCCCCTGTCTCTTGACTGGTATTCTTCTTCTTCTTCTCTAGTGTCCTACATACAATGGGCCCCTGTGGCGGGCTCCGTTCACCTTTAAATAACAAGCTGCTGGCTGCCAGGCAGATGGTATAGTACAGTGCCGCACACTGTAGCTACCTACTCATTAGAGCTTGACAGTCCGCACATCATTTATAGCTAACCACAGTGACAGTGAGCACTTGTCAGTTAGAGCCAAGTTATTTTCAGGCAGCCAAGGATGAGTAAACTTCAATGTGTGCGTGAGTGACAGTGTGTGCGTCTCATGTGTCTATGAGTGTTGGAAGGTGTGAAAAGAAAAGTGAAGGAGCAGATAAAAAGATACAAAAACAGACTGCCACATGTTGCACCTCCCTGCAGTGTGAGAATGATGCAGAAATATTGCGTCTCTCTGTCTGTTTTTTTTTTTTTTTGCTGCATTAGTTTTTTTTTCTCTCATGCACAGAGAAACAAGAAAAAACACATACATGAACCAAACAGACAAGAAAAGTGAAGATATAATAATGAGGAACATAGAGGGTGAGGGAGAAGGAAAGAAAACATTTTTAAAAGAAGAGGCGTGAGACATAAAGGTGTATTTCATGTAGAAAAATTTTGGAAAAAAATAGATCACAAAATGAATGTTTCCAACCTTCCTGCATTTTAGAATAATAGAACATAAATGTTGACTTACCTCACTGATAGCGCAAAAAAAGAGGGGATTCCAGTGCGGAGAGGAGAGGGAGACTAACTAACAGGTGGCGAAGAGAGGAGGAGAAACTAGAGAGAGGGAGAGAGAGAGAGGGGGGGGGGGGGACTGAGTGAGCTCTATGCATATCATTAAAAATTAAATGCACGGATAGTTTAAGTTGAGATGAAAACGAAGAGCAGAGAGGAAGAGAGAGCAGAGCGGCATGCTGGAGTAGGAAGAGGAGGAGGAGGAGGAGGATGGAGGGAGTCAAGAGGAAGAGAGAGAGGGAGAGAGAGAGGCAGGGAGTTATTCCTTGACATTCTGTTGTGCATGTGACTGTTTCGCCTCACTCCCCCCACCATCCCCCCCAACATCACCACACACACACACAATCACACACACACACACACACACACACACACACACACACACACACACACACACACACACACACACACACACTTGTTTTTGTCACTCAGGAGGACAATTCATTGACTTGAATTCGTTCCTGGATGATTTCTGAACCACAAAGGATAAGGCTGATGACATTTTTCATGTTTAAAATACAATCATTTTCTTTAATGTCAGCAAATCCCAGCCAACAGTGGGTTTACCCTATGAACAAGTACTGCCTGATACACCACTAATATTTACACTAATAGAATCAATTTAATTAATGATTAAAAAGCATTTATACACTAGTTGATTTATTGATTGAAATTCATTAATTAGTGAATGTAAAAGTCGGAAGGTTGTTTGCACCATGATTAATTCGCTACAGGGATGATGTCTTTTTATGGGCCAACCTGGAAGTTAACATCTGCCTGGTCCCTTAAACAAAAAGACAGTTGGATTTTTCCATTACATTATTTCAGAAATAAAGCCTTGCAGTGAACAAAGATTTATGACACTTACACGTTTTGTTCAGCAAGATAATCTTAACACCATAAACACCACTTTTATGATTTGTGAAGCATAAATGTGATCACCAGAAGTAAAAACCTAACGTTTGGCTTTAAACGAACTACAGCAATGTCGAACTACAGCAACGTCACCAACATTTAACTTCCAATTTGTAATTAAATGCTGTAATTAAAGTCTACAAGTTGGAAAGTTTGAGTTAGAATAGTTTGCGTATAAACGTAGTGAGGCTGTCAGTGACAACCTCTGTAGTTTCATTTAACCACTTGTTAGCCTTTATTAGCCTTTTTAAGACATGTAAAGGCTTTAAAACTCACAAGTTAAGTTTGTGTTAACCACGGACATTATTTCAAGTGTCTGACAAAAAATCCATTGAGACGAAACTGGAAAGTGGAAGTGCTGAAATGCTAACTCAGTTCCGGGTTTTAGTTCCTACAGCGCTCTATATGTAACACAACAGCAGTAACTAATTAGGTTATTTAAAGGAACCTAATTAATTTAAGTAATACAATATATTATTAATGATTAATTATTACACTCACTGCTAGCTAAGAGCCTAGACCGCGATATTTGTCATGAAACTGTTTATAAAACATAAATTGGCCATTTACCCAACTTTAAGGAGTTATGAGCTAGATCTATTACTTGGTGGTTGCCAGTTTTGGTACCATTACGTATCGAGATCAATCCAGTGCTCACTGGCCTACCAACCGGCACTATTAGTGGCCAGAGAGGCCGCTAATAAGTGCTGACAGTTGTTTGTCAAGAAATCTGAAGAATTCCTAGGAATCACTGCCATATTTGACTGACCGCTACCTTGCAATTCATGTCCAATTACAGCCTTCCCTGCCACTGCAAGAAGTAGTGTGTCTCCCATAAGTGGTGTTTTTATATTTTTCTTAAACAAACAATGAGAAATGTTTTATTAAGTCAATATTTTTTTTAAGTCAAACTAGCTGTCTCCCCCTGCTTGTAGTCTTTATGCTAAACTAAGCAAATCACATCCCGGCTCTATATCCCAATGCACATGAAAGTGGTATCAACCTTCTCCTGTCACTCTAGAAAAGAACTATTTCCCAAATGTTGGAATATTCCTTAACCATTTTACATGCCCTAATGTAAACCCATATAGTCACCAAGTCTTAATCCCTATAATTCAGTGGTCTACCTTGTGCAGACCTGGTTTGTGAGGCTGAGTTACTGTTCATTTCAAGGGTAAAAAAATATGACATCTAATTAAATCTCTCCATCTTTCTGTCCATGTTAATTTCAAACTAATACACTGTGTCTAAATCGCTCCGTCTTTCTCTCTCTCTCTCTCTCTCTCTCTCTCTCTCTCTCTCTCTCTCTCTCTCTCTCTCACTCACACACACACACACACACACACACACACACACACACACACACACAGACAAACACACAGTCTCTTCAGTCTCAGTTCCTCCATATAATTAAGCTAATGGTTCTTGAGTCAGTGATAGACAAGGGGAAACATGCTATTTCCCCCTTGCGTCTATTGAAGGGACAAAATTGGTGTTCTCTCTGTGTCTCTGTCTCTTTTTTATCTGACTTGTCCCTCTCTTTGCCTCTTTCTTTCAGTATGGAGTCCACCCTCTCTAAAACTCTGCGTCTATCAAAAAGAGGAGTCAGGAAACTGTCACACAGTGCAGGCTGTTGAATAGACTTACTGGTGCTTTTTGTGTTCAATCTTCAAAAATTGCCTGATGTCTTTGTTCACTGGTGTTCTTCATATCTCTCTCCTTTCTTATCTCATACCCTCTCTCCAGTTCTCTCTCTTGATCTGTCACACACACGTACACACACACGTACACACACACACACACACACACCCTCATGTATGTTCTGTTTCCATTAAACTGATGCCGTGGCACAGGCATGCATGGATGCATTAACACGGCAATATAACGAACACAAGCCTCCAGAGAAGGATGACTCCCACTCCTTCATGCAAACAGCTCATGCTACGCACATTTACACAATCACACACACACACACACACACACACACACACACACACACACACACACACACACACACACACACTGCAATTTAAAGCCACCACTCTGCCAACTCTGTCAACAGACCCTTCAATCCTTATTTCACCTTTCTGGGCTTAATTCCACTTCCCTCCCTCTTCCCTCCTCCTCCTCGTCATATCTCTTCTCTCCTGCCTCCTGTCTATGAGAACTGAAAATCTCCTCATTATAAATGCATAGTCGTTACGTGCTCTCTCCACACCAATTATGTCGGGGACGGGTGCTAGTGCTTCAGTGAAAACAGCTGACCACAACAGAGTCCACAATGGCTCTGACAAGAACAAATGACATCAGCGAACCAGTCGGCCTGGTTACACACAGATGACAAACACTGACAAGAATGGTTTCTCTAAACAGTTATACTGTGCGACTATATAAGTTATGCAATATATATATATATCGTGCAATGTTGTATGGCTACTGTATATTTTCCTTACATGATTATAGCCAATTTCATACAGATTTTTATATGACAAGATGTTCTTAAACCAATGAATAGGTTTAGAAATACAAACAAGACACTAACAATTGCAGCAAAAACAGCACGTACAAATCATGCAGAACAACAGGAAGCAGCAAAACACTGATGCAATAATATAACTGACTATTTGGTGGAGCTATGAAAACTGTAAAACTGGTTATAAAATGTCTTTTTGTGGGAAAACAGCAGGGAAATTTCATAAGAAGTAGAAAACCAAATTGCACTGACTGCACTCTAGTTTATCTAGAGATGGCAGTTAGGCTAGCAGGTGAGATGACTTCAGCTGAAGCTTTTTCTGTTTCTGTTTCCTGGATTTAAAAAATCAATTTTGATTGGTGATACGTAGTGATTGAGTTTAATCCGATACACTCCTTTTTGTCCAATTCAGCCAAGATCTGTTTAATCACATCCACGAGTGTATCTAAATGTTTTTTTAAGTTTGCAAGTAAAAGTGAAGACCTTGTATACACAGTTTGGCCTTTTTCCTCATCTTAACTGTTTAGTTAAGCACTATGGCTTTGTAAGGCAGCATGCAGAGAATCATTGATTAATGAGACGTAGATTGAGTAACATGTGAAATACAAATAGTATTTATGTTAAAAATAAAAAGGTTAGTAAAATGGTAATGTCACACACTAAACATTTTAGCCATACAGCAAAGTCCATAGACAAATCTATAAAATAGTACATGGGACAAAATTGCAGCAACGTAACAAAATAATGATAATTGATATATTTTGTGCATTTGGAGGGTTCACATGAAAATGTTATTATTTCACTTGGCAGTGGTAGTATATGTACAGTTTATGTATATATATGCCACATAGACATAATATAAGTATAATAAATAATCAAATGAAACTAAAAGCTGAAATACAAAAAGACAGCACATGTTCTTACATACTGAACATTTACAACATTATATGATTCCTATAGATTAAAACAGGGGATACACTGATAACTGCACCTCTTCTAATAATAAAATAATGCCAAATACAGGCGAGCAGAATAAAAGAAACAATTAGAACTTCAAGGCCCTCTTTTCTCTGACTCTCAGCCATGTGACTACAAGGTCGTCGTGTACCGATTGGAAAGAAAAGGACTCGAGCTTCTCACTGCACTACACACTGCTTCTTCAGTATTATCACTCATTGAAATGAACTACCCGGATGTATTGCATGACTCACTGGCCCATAAATGTGTGAGATGGAAATGCTAACATGCCTTTATGTTGGGGAATGAAAAGGGAAGAGCCTGATACCAACACTGAGGAAATAAATACAGCCGCTGCTGCGATGCCAGGAGTGCAAGGGAACGGAGAGTGACAGATAGGAGAGAAAATCCACATAACAAAGATTCAAGTTGTACAGTCTGAAAAAGAAGATGCAGACATGTATTGAAATTTGATTCTATAAAAGTTGTGTTAATTAAATGTATTTCTTTTCAGAGCCCATAACTGCCTAATTAATAAGCCTCATGACAGTGGATTGCAGACAATTCCCCCAAAAATTAACAACTCAAATCAACCAAACACTTCACACAATCGTTATCACTTGAGACGACCAAGTCAATATGTAAAAAGATGAAGGATAAACACCGCATAATTCATAATGAAGTCCTCGCTACCTAAGGAACTGTCTTTGTTCCTTCCATCTAATGACTGGATAATCCATAACGATCCAAGGGAAGCAAACGCTTGGGGCAAAAAAACATACACACTTTCATGTTATTACTTCATAAGTCCAGTCAAGACGGTGTGAAACAACAAATGGAAACAGCACAAAATTATTGCCTCAGGCATGTGCTTCGTTGAACTGAACATAAAAAATGAGCTTCA